TTCGCAGTCATAGACTTATTCTTGGCTATTGCTAGACAAAATAATGTATATAATATGTCATCTCTTGTTTTTTCTTCTTTGTGCCTCTGTGCGCAATCAGCTTCGGAACTACCTAAGGAAAACAAAACTCCAGTTATCTCTTTCTCTCCCTGATTGGGTTACACTAACGGCCTGCAGATCTTTTAATAGATGAGGGCTCACCCCTCCGATCCCTGTAATCACCGTCTTAATGACAATTGCTTTAATTACCAGGCGCGCGTGGGGGGACGCGGGAAGACGAACCGTGCGGCGGTCAAGTGGCACTGACATCCCCCTTGGAAATTGAGATCTGACTGTGTCTGCATGGCCAGGCAGATGGACGCGTCGCCATGGAAACCCCACACGTTCCCCTGGCGCTTTTACGACTTGAAAATGCCTTGTAGCTTTTAGCTCGACCCAGCAGGAGAGGGGAATTAGGTTTTAATCAGCTGCGAACGGAACATGTGGGAATACCGGGGTTGTTTTTTTTTACTCGTTCTTTCTGTTTTTGTCTTGAACAAGTATTGTGTGTTGGATGTGTCGAGACATGTCTTTGGATGTAATTGTAAGTCTTCTGGACTTTGTCAGTGGGAAGGATGATGATGATGATGATGAAGAAGAAGATGATGATGATGATGATGATGATGATGATGATGATGAGTAGTAGTAGTAGTAGTAGTAGTAGTAGTAGTAGTAGTAGTAGTAGTAGTAGCAGTAGTAGTAGTATACTCTAGTAGTAGTAGTAGTAGTAGTAGTAGTAGTAGTAGTAGTAGTAGTAGTAGTAGTAGTAAGGATAATAATAATAATAATTATAACAATAAAAAATAACAATAATAACAATAGTAGAAATATAATAATAATAATAACAATAATAACAATAATAATTATTATTATTATTATTATTTTAAATTATTATTATTATTATTATTATTATTATTATTATTATTATTATTATTATAGCATATGCACACCGCTTTGCCTGATGAATTTGATGAGAAGATACCGCTGTCGTCATCACGTCATTACGCTATCTCTTTTAGTACAGATCTATGTAAATATCTTATAACCAGTGGCGGGGTGTTGTGAAGAAAGTAATACGGGGTGCCCAATGGGTCGGGTCAGGGCGGTTTGTTAGCAGATTGAGGGCGTTAAGCGGCTATCGTGGCACAAGCCGATCGCGCCCGACTCGTCACCTCAAAAACAAACGCGTTTGTTTTTTTATGGGGTGCCTTTGGCGGATGGGATCGGGTCGGATTTGGTCGGGGGCTAGTCTACGAGGTGCCCACTACGGCTGGATCGGGCACACACACACACACACACACACACACACACACACACACACACACACACGCAGACACACACATACGCAGACACGCAGACACACACACACACACACACACACACACACACACACACACACACACACACACACACACACACACGCACGCACGCAGGCACACTCACAGATTATAATTTATATACATATAATGTAATACAAGCACACGCTCACGTATATCTGAGCTTTCCTCTGAATCGAAGAAATATTCCCTTAGAATTCAACCTGCCCTCATTTCTTTGTCCCACGTCTCTAGTTCCACCCACATTTTGATCCAGCCATCGCTGTTATAACACATCTACCCAGTGGGACGTACCCAGTATGTCAGCGGGCTCAAAGTTCAAAGTTCCCTGGATTCTGTTATTCAATGATAGAAGGCTTTGTCAAGCCAGGGCAAAGATTAGAACATTAATATTTGACTCCTTCAGTGTTGATGTTACGATGTTCCATTGGGTGGACGAGGGTGGGGTCAAGACAGTTTTCTGACCCTGTTGACATTGTTCAAGAAGATCATTTATTGTTGAGGAAAAAAATGGTTGTTCTAGACAGATGGACGTCTTAAACAGTGTCAATGTAATACCAAAATGATGCAAGTGGGAAAGGG